TTTTTTTGGTGATCATTTCACAATAAAATAGATTGGGGATCATTTGTACATTTTTTTGGTGATCATTTCGCAACTAACACATTTTGGTGATCAATAGTCATTTTTTTGGGGATCATTTGTCTATTTACCCTTGTAATATTGACTGTACCGCTAATTGATCTTTTATTTTTTCGTGTTACATCGTATATGCACTAACAACAATTATTGACGATCTTTTATATTTATTTTTCTAGATGATATTTTACATGTATACAAAATTTGCTCAACGTTTATGACTTATTTTTCAATTAAATCTTGATATGAACATTCAGTTTCCATAATCGGATGCATGTTGCAATAACGAAAAATATCGGATTGGTGGAAAGATCGATTTGGTACAAGAACTAAACTTCTCATTTCAAAACGCAAACAACTCTCAGCACCTATCGTTTGTTTGTTTCTCGTCGTCTAACATAAGTTATTTCATGAGGTTGCGATGTCAACAAATGTATGCTAGTTTTTGTTGATGATGATGATGATGATGAGTAACCAGATAAACACCAGTTTTGTAGTTTTATTCAATTAGAATTTTTCTCAAAATAACTGAAGAATAATCAGATAAATTCATACAAACTGCATAGAGATGTATATATTCTAAGCTTGAAAACATCTCTTCTCCTTAGATATTAATTCTGCAAAAGTTGAATCTAAACAATGAATAGTTAGTTAATAAAAAAATAAGCTGGTGAATTCTAAAATGTGTTTTTAAAGAAATGAAAAATGACATCGTAGTCGATATAGATTAGATTAGATTATTTTATTCCGAATGAACTTTTTTCGTTTATTCTTGGAAAGACTAAAAGGACACCTTGAAAATTCATCATGGTTGATAGAAAAAAAAAGAATCAAATAGTAAATGATAAAATTGCATTTTTGGCAATACGAAATGAAAAACTTTCATCTAAATAAGCATGAAGGATTTTTTTGTAAGTTTTTCGAGATAGTTTATTTTGAAACTATCTATGTTCAGAAGATTGAACAAAAGTTTATATTTCTTATCGGAAGATATGTCGTTTACTGGAAAAAAAATTCTATTTGTATTAGCCTAGAACAAGGATACGTGGTACATGTTTTTCAATAATGTTCATTATTAAAAGTATCGAAAAAACAATTTCAATCAGTAATATGATCTCTAATCGCTTCTAGATCCAAAAACCCAATGAGAAAACATTTTGTTCTTCAACAAGGCATTTATAAAAAAAACAATCGGAATGAATTGCATCGCTTTCATGATTGGGCCGATATTGATGCCACGCTTTGATGATTCTCCTTCCTTCTCTTTCTACTCTTTTTCCATTGTTCTAATATCTCTCTCCTATATATACGTGTGTTATGTATGAAAAACATGTTTGCCGAGAGTGGCACAAGCTACTCCAATCCAGTTGATCGTTACAATGACCTTAATCCTTCCCAGGTTGATCAAAACGGACTCGTTTACTGTCTGTTTATCGACGGTAAACGATTTAAAAACGGTATATTTACGGCAGTAAATAGGGCGTATTTGCCCGTAATACCTGGCGCAGTAATACGGCACCGTAAACGGGACTGAATTTTCATGGTTTACGGCTGTTTGTGCTCCGTACTCTCATGATCATACGGTACGTACTACTGCGCCAGATATTACGGCAAACTTTCGCCCGTAAAGTAACCGTATACGGACCGTACTGTTCGACCTGGGCTACTTTTACATATAGAATATATTTCAAGGCTTATTATTTCCGTGTAACAGCAACTAGCAGGCTCATTTTATAAATGTTTTCACGAGTGCTTTGTAATACATCTGTTCACTATATAAAAATAACTCCAAGACAAAATGAGTTGAAAGTTACGTTTTATTTCTATATTGGTAAAAACTGAAAATAAAAAAACATGTTTTTGATAAGACGATGAAGACTATTCTTGGGTTGCATTATATTTCGAATAGTTTTAATATTCATGATAAGTGAAATTTCCAATAACTGCAGTGAATGCATTAACGTGAACAACTTTCCGGAGCAGAAAATTAAAACATTGATTTTTGAAATCTTGAAAGATGAGAAAATTTAATATCTTGGCGAGAATCGATTTATTAGCTATATGCCCGGAAAAATAAATCCGTCTTTTGTGTTTTTCTGTCTCGGCGTATACCTACAGGAAATTAAATAGACACAAAAATTTATTTTATCAAAACCATCCACACTGAATATAAATTGTTTGTTGATTAGGTAGTTAGTTTATTGATTCGTTCTCGTTTAGTCGCTTCAAGTGAATCGATCTTAGGAATAAATAATACAGCATTAATGACGATGTTTCCTGAATCTAACATACGCCATTCAATAGTCTGCATATCGTCATCTGAATGTGGGGTATACCTTGGAACTGTACATGGAAAGCAAGAATAGCTATTTTTTCTCACGCTACATTCAAGAATAGGTAATAGTTGCTGATCACCATACTGAAATGCTACGGCATATGTTGGATCACAGCTATAATGTACACTGGGACTCACGAAAATAGCATCGACAAAATCAGCAATGCTAGAAGCTTCACGACCACGTCGAATATGGTTTTCACGACGAGTAATACATTTTCCAGCACTGACTACAGTTCTCGGTACCACGAGTCCATCAGCAATAATTGATTGAACAAATGAAATATTCGTTCCATGATAAACTATCTCTGGAAAGTTAATAGGGTCATGTTTTTGTAATAATAAACAAGTACATTGAACAGGTTTTTCTCTTAAAATCAATGGTTGATTAATAGAAGCTGCGATGACCATATCAACGGGTAGTGTTAATAACATTGGAATAATATTTATATGTTGTATGAATGCATGAATACCATTCAGCATAGGCAGACAAGTTCGACGAGTGTTACAACTAAACCAATATGGGGTAGATATAGCCAATGTATATAGACGCGCATATGCAGCATTAGCCATGGATACAAGAGGAAGTTTGAGAAGTTTCGAAGTATCTTCATAAAGATTTGTTTCAAACAAACACAAACATTCCGATGAACGAAATATTTCATGAACAGGTGAAAAAATTGCTCGAACTTCAAATTCCAAATCATTTTTTACAGATCCTCCGGAGAACGTAAATATTAAATCACCAACATTAATCGTTTGCTCATCTATTGAAGGTTTTAATTGAAAATGAGTGACAATACCTACTGATTGAAAGTATTTGTCAAATACATGAAAATCAAATTCAGGATCTTGATGAATGTTGTATTCATTACTAGTTTTTTCATCGTATGGTTTTTTATGAAGAGTAAGACAAAGTGGTGTATCAATCAATTTTGAATTTAGATAACGTGCACGATATACAGCGGATAGTAGAGTTGTTTCTTTCGTCTGAAAATTTAATGAACGTCCAGCAATTGAAAAATGATTCTGTTCATTCTTTAAAAACTTAGTTGATAATATATATAATAAATCATCATATGTAGTAGCATGATGCAATTGTATTTTCAAATTTGGATCATCATCTTGATTATCTTCTAAATATATATGAACATCAATTAATTTGTTCGCGAGTAAATTGCTTTGATATGCTACTAAAAGTTGATGGATCATTCTTGCTCTATCTAGATTTATTTCTTTTGAAAATCCTTGTTCAAAAATAGTTAAGTTGAAATCATTTTGAATCGTTATATCTGCACCATATTCCAGTAATAGTTCAACAATGTTAAGATGTCCGTGATATTTTGCTCCGTGTAATGGAGTATTTTTAGGTGTTTCTCTTGTTTGAATATTAATATTAGCTTTATGTTCTAATAACCATTTAACAATATTGTACTGACCATGGCAACATGCATGATAGAGTACACTTATACCTTCAGAATCGATCGTGTCTGGGGATTGAGTACCAAAATAATACTCAAACCACCAATCTATACCTTGGCATGCCCTGTCAAACATGTTTTGATCACGCATAGATCGAAAAATATTCATAATTTTATCACCATGTTTGCTACCTTCCTGCTCGGCTGTTAAACCCCATCGATTATAAAAAGTTGAATTACAACCTTTATTAATGAGATAATCAACAATTTCAATGTGACCCCCATAACAGGCAAGATGTAGAGCAGAGTTTCCATTTACATCAACAATATTCAAATTAGCTGATAATTTTTCTACAAGTAAACTTACAAGATCAAAATAACCTTTTTTACTAGCACAATGCAATAGAGTTTGACGTTGACCATAGTATTCTTCATCAATATGTTGTACTAAACTATTATTCAAAAACCAGTCGATATCATTGACAGCGGCTCGTACGTATGGTGTTTGTTTGAGTTCACTGAACGTCTGTTTTACATCATCATTAGCAGCTTCAGCTTCAGCTGTTCGTTCTCCTATATTTAATATTCTATGATCAACTCCACTCTCCAAAAGACAACGTACAACATCGGCATGTCCATAAAAAGAAGCAACATGCAAAGCAGTACTTTTCGTGCGCTGTGATAATTCAGGTTGGGCTCCTTGTTCGATTAAATATTGTACAGCTACCACATTGCCAGCACGTGCCGCAACGTAAAGTATTGTTTGACCTGTTATAGGATCTTGAGCATTGATCTCAGTTATACTAGCATGATCTAATCGGTCTATTAGAGTTGATATTAGAACAGGTTCAGCAGCTAATTGTTGTATAGTATATTGGCTTAATGGTAGATCGGAGATCCATTCTTTAAAAGAATCATATTTCTTGCGTTTGTCATAATCGGATAATGTTTCATATGCACGAACTTTAAGTCGGAATTCTTCAGCAGATATTTGCTTCTGTTTATATTCATGAATTATTCGTCGATAGCATGCACGTAATGCAACAAAGTTGATATTTTCAGGGACTTCTAAAACTTTGTAGGGTGTTTTACTTGGTACTGCTCGTATTAACCGTGAGACCATTGCTTATCTGAACAAAAAAAACAGACTAAATAACTTTTGCTAAATTAACTGACGTTAGTAAAATACAGATATGTCAAAAACGTTTTTTCGTTTTCTCTGAGAAAAAGAAATAAATATTTATATAGATATGAATCATCTTATTTGTTTTCTTCATTTTTATTTTGACGAAGTGTGTCGCTTTTGTTCTTACGGTAGAAATCTTTCTAGAAGTGCCCTCTCAATATTACAATATCTTTCTGTCTGTCGAATTCAATTATAAAGCGACATCAATTAGATGCATATAATTATCGATCGAAATTTTAAGTGTTGCATTCGTTATTCAAGTTTATCTGCACTATTAAAGTGTAGTAGTATTCATTTATTAAAATTTTTATTGCAATACAACAAAAAAGAAAGATACAGTAAATTAAAGTTTTTTTTTTTTTTTGGTTTTTAAATATTCTTATTGACTTCAAAAGATGAATTCAAAAAGGAGAGAAAAAAAATTGTATAAATATAATTAGTTATTACCATAGTCAATATAATAATTAAGATTATTGCTGCTATGTGGTCCTCCAGTAAATGAATTATACGGCTTCGTAAGTGTCCATTCAGATGGTGAAACAATGGTACGTGACCAATAGTCAACATATGTACTTGGAACAGGACTACTTGTACTACTTTTTGATGAACTAGTAGCTACAGTAAGTGATAAACGACGGCATTGTTTGTTCATTGAAGATGTATCAGACGAACATGACGACGAGGACGATGACGATGATCCATTTAGTTTACGGCGAATAATGTAGATAAATGTGATGAGTAATACGATAAGTAGAATCAAGGTGAGTCCAATAGCAATGAGAATATATGTATATGGAGAAGATGTAATATCGAAAGGAGATAGACTTTTGTTTGATGATAAATTATCAGAATCAATGTATGAATTCGATCGATGAGGTAGTTCATCGGCAAAACAACATTCACGTCGATTTTCTGGACCACAACAAACGCGAACTCGATTATTAATTGGTTGACAACTGAAACCATTGTTCCAGACACCTAGAAAAATATTCGAATTAATTATAGAGTTCATTGTTTTCAATTAGACACTCAATTACCTGAGTCATCTAAATATCCTGAACAACTATTGGACACAATCATGAATAATCTAAAGAAAAAAAATTGGAATAGGAAAAACAAAACATATGAACACATCAATATTGTTCTATCTCACCTGTATGAAATATAATAAAACTATTCTAATATTTATAATCTAGACGTAAGATTGACAGTAGCAGCAGACGCTGACTTGCATCATGATCCGTTGTTGATTGAGAAAAAGAAGAGAAAAAAAAAGAAAGAAAGATTGAGAGTTCAGACGAAGATAGCCGATGGCGATTCTTTAGTCTCGTTGTGAAAGTCTATACTAAAATAAGACAAGCATACTCATTATTTGTATTTCATGCAAGAGTCACACCTTGCAGACACACACACACACACACACGCATACAGAATATACGCCTGCCATCCTCGTTTCGCTCACTGTACATCGACAAGAACAAATTTTTATTCAATAGAAAATTTTCTTTCACACATCATTTCGCATGAATAAACGACTCAACTGGATATAGTCATGCATAGTACAATGGGACGAAGGAGAATTATTATCTTTTACAATGCCATTTATATATACATTAAAAAGTTCAACCGAACGAAAGTGTCCCTAAATAGTAGTAAATTGTATAGCTATATATACGTATATGTGCGCATAGCAGGAGAAAAGATTGTTCATCAGCAAAGCGCATATTTGTCACTTACTGATATCCAAGAAAAAGAAAAAAAGCATTCTTCTTGGATATAATGCCTAGACGCAAAAGCGGTATTTTCAAACGAATACTTTCTTTCTCGATCATCAATTTCTGACACGCGTACGCATAACAACAATCTAAAATAATAATAATGATGATCGTGTGTCTCAATGGCAGTAGCATCACTGCGATTCCTCCTCACACGCCCACACTTGACGCGACGGTGCAATACAAATGATGGCTAACATTCTTCTGCATCATTCTTTATGCGTTCTTATGTACTCTCTTTCTCTCTCTCTCTCTCTCTCTCTCTCTCTCTCTCCGCTCGATAAGATGTGACGATGGCTGCTGTGCACATTCACTTGATTAGATTTGATGTGCATATACATACGTACATAAATGTTATTCGAACGAATCAATGAACAATACCGCCTGTGGAAAAAAATAGATCAACTGCTAGTTGAATGATGACTATAATGCAAGATTAGATATTTCTATGATATCTCTGATAATTCAATCTTATGGTTACCTTTTGTTTTCTTACCAAATATTTAAAATAAAAAATAAGACAACTGATAATAAATATTTACTTTCTGATTCCTCAATTAATTATCGAAGAAAGAAACCCTTCTATTCTAATGAACGACTATTTGTGCTCTGTTAAGCATATATGAGACAAATGTACGATTCCAGATGACATCGTATGTGCTTCATATATCGTTCATCACCAACTAATGGTTGCTCTCCAATCATTATTTTCTTACTTATTTTCGTCTCTGACTATATCGATAGGCATGGATCGTGATTAGAATTAATCAATGAGATGCATAAATCTTCGCCTTGTTCATCATATTGTATTATTTAAATAAATCGACAAAACATTGACCAGACATACGTGTCACTCATGCCGACGCTACTGTATACATAGATCATATCGAAGAAAAAAATGTATAAACAAAAAGAAGAAGAAGAAAAAAAATATATATATATATATATATCTGAACTAAATATTTAAATTGTTCAACTGACAATGAAGAATAGAAAATAACAAAAAGAAGAAGGTCAACATTCTTGAACTTGACTTTATATATTTATCTTGTAATAAAACATTGAATATCTGCTCGTTCTATCTTGTCAATTGAACACTAATGTGTTGTTTTCCGGGCAAGATAATAAATACATCACAATAATAGTTAAGTATGCCGTCAGACGGCTGTTCAAATAAAGACTTTTCCTGTCTTGTTATCAACTCTATAATTTAAATCCGATAGTGATTTCTAATGTGTTTTGTTTGACGTTCGCGTTTTGTTTTAGAGTTAGCTAAATGATTATCAGATGTCAGATTATATGTTCAACCTTTTTTTTCTTTTCTTTGTTTGATTTGAGCAATTAGATATATTAGTATGTAAGATTGATGTGCTACTGCTGATTGAATCCATCACTAAGTAGTGAGAGCCCTTGATGATATCTTTTTCTCCCTGTCGCTCCCTCTCATATGCACACTCACATACGTTCTATTCTTATACCTTCAATAATCATAAAATCTATCCTTTGTATATACGTATATATCTTATCAATAGATAAATAGATAGACAAATCGACTTGTCAATGGCAAGTGGATGCGTCTGGCATTGCTCAATACATGTTAAAAAGTCGTTATATTATAAACATATTTTCGTTCTTATTGATTTTGTTTTTTATTATTATTATAATGAAATTACATGACATGTAATAAAGAAAAGAAAAGAAATCAATAAAGAACTATTATTAATTCTTATGTTGAAGGTAAACTACGGCCATAGCGAGTATTACCGAAGCGTCGTCTTTGTCGAGTCGATGAGATTTTTGATGCAACACGTTTCCATAGATTATAATTCGGTTCATGTTGTTCACTTTCATCCATGTCATTTAAATAATTATACCAGGCATTGTGCCCAATTAATGATCGAGATGGGTATGGACTTCGTTCAATTTCGTCATATGATAAAAATCGAACACAAGCAACTTGCTGTTGATTCAATAAAATGCATATAAAAACAATTAATATTGGTAAACGACACATGTTTAATGTTTGTTTTTGTTTTTGTTTTTGTGATAATCTAATGGTATAAGTTAGTTGAAAAAGAACTAGAAAAAAAAATCGAAGAGCTATATGAAATACCAATAGTAAACTTAATTTTTCAAAATAAATTTCTTCTATAAAAAAAAAAACTTCATCAATGGTTTTGTTAATCATTGTGCGATATAACTTATGCTCTTTATTCTATTCTGTTTTTGGTCTCTGTAACCAAATGTGACGGCGTCATTGTTTGAAACGCTTTCTATTTTACTTTAATTTTGGTGAATAGATCGATAGAATTTTTTTTAACAAAAATGAAATAGAAAAAAGCGATTGAAATATTTCGAACGAGCAAAACAAGCAATTAAAAAGCTAGACTTCTGTTAAAGTTGTCTTAATGTAAAAAAAATGAAAATGAAAATTTACTGACGGCATATTTTTCTAAGTGATGATAAAATTTAGACAAAGATTCAAATCTCTCCTTCTTCTTACACTCACAGTTTCTGGCTGCCTATATCACAACATAATTTTCTGGCCCTGCTCTTTATATGAGAGATGTTTGTATACGTATCAGACAATTGATTTGAATAAAAAAAAAGAAAGATTCGTATGTTCGAAAGAATTTCTATGAAAGAAGTGGCTGAAAAATATTGTAAAAAAGAGTTTCTGTTGTTTTCTCTCTTTGATCCTTTCTTTTTTTTCTCTATTTGTCACAGTAAATAAAACAAGCAGTGCTGACATTCATACAACGGTTAATTCTATTTTAAAAGTTAAATATTTTCAATTTTCTATATTTTATCTACGAAATTACTCATATATAAATAATCTTAAATTTTATTCTTTTAACGTACAAAATCATTTCTTTTCCTTCCATCATTTTTTTCACGTTGGAAAAATTTCATCTTCATAAACAAGCACCTACCTTGTACAACAATCTATGCAATTATGCATGTCCTCTCCTTTTTTTCTTTGCTTTATTCTATTGTGTCCCACTACTTATCATATGCAAGAATAGATTCTAGTAATCACAAAAATGAGAATCCTCACTAGAAAATTGATATATTAATCGCTTCCATAATAATTCATAAGGTAGAGAGAGAGAGAGAGAGAGACAGACAGACAGACACAAAGAGAACAAAAAAAGCGTTCACAGTAAATCAATATGATTGTGTGGTGCAAAAAAACTTGTTTCATTCGACATACTGAAAAGAAAAAGTCATTCACAAAATGATATGACAGTGGTGTCTAGTAGAATGAACGAATCGTAATCGTGTGGAATTGATATTGGATAGAAAACGAAGGAATAAAAGAAACAATAGTGATCATGAATCATTTCAAATATATGACTACTACGCATAAAAGGGTTGTCTTAAATGTTTAAAAGCTTATCTTTCTAATTTAGCTATTATATTCTAAGAATAAAATCATGAATAATGCGGACGCTGTACTTAGTAAGAATAAAAATGACTTAGATGAAAGTAAGGTCATTGTGTTTCTCGGTCGCACCGGATCAGGTCAGTTGTGGCCTATTGAATTTCTAATATATTAAATATTGCTATTTTAAATTAAGGCAAAACAAGTCTATTCAATTTACTTTCTAATTCAAATCAACCATTGGGAAATTCTGTATCATCAAGAACAAAGAAATTTTTCTATAAAAAATTTCATGATGTAACTTATATCGATACAATTGGTTTTCGTGATACAGAAAATGAAAATGATCATAAACTTAAAGTCGTTCTATTTCTTAAAGAAATTCGAAATGGCTTTGATATAAGTATATTATATTTTCTTATCTTAACTATATCTACTTAGATATCGTTTTATTAGTTTTCTATTGTATTCGTATGGATGTATTCACATCTGATGAAGCAAATTTGTTTTCAGAAGTTTACGGTAAAACAAAGAAAAAGGATAATTTCAGATTTTCATTTTATTTTATTTTTTGTTAAATAGAAACAGTATTAACAAGAAAAGCTTATGATAATTCATGTTTATTGATAACATTTTATACTCGTCCTGACATAGATGAAGTAAATACATTGGATTCTGCTGAACGTCAACGGTTATTAGATGAATTTCGATGCAATAATCGATATAGTGAAATACTTGATTATTTTGAAAATCGAATTTTTTTTATTGATATCAAACAAGAAGAAGATTTAAATAATTATTCATTTGGTAGTACGAAATATATACAATATAAAGCATTGAATGATATGATTTTTGAAAGAAAACAAATTGTTTATAAGCATTTAAATCAATTTATTGAATACTTTTTTCCAGGTTTGAAAATAAAAGAAATCTATTATTATTATTCTTATTAAGTTTCTTGTATTTTAAAAGAAAGATTTGATTGTGAAAATATGAAAACAATGAGAGATATTATCTATAGAAATGATGAACTCGAACAACAATTAAACGAATTACGAGATATTGTATCGGATGTAGCAAATGAACGTGCAACAACTAACTTCTATGATATATTGCGTTTTATGCCTATTACTAATATGTTTATTGATGTATTTGGTATGTCTTGAAAAAATCTAATTCATTTATTACTTTAGTTTTCTTCTTTTATTCTATAGAAATCAGTAGACGTGAAAAACTACAAAGACGTATTAACAATGTGCTAAAAAAATAAGCCTTTCTATTTTCTAGTAGTTGATTCTATGTGTGTGTTTTCTGTACTTACCATTCCGATATTTTTCATAGATTTTCTCATATAACATGAAATTAGGTTTGATATTTATGTGTTTATATAGTTTAAATCATTTTGCGATAGACATGACGTGTACCCAGATAGATTGAGTGTAGGATGGGAAAGAAAAAGAGCGGAATTGCAATGGTAAGTGAGAGGCGAAGACTTTTTGCAGTATCCATATTCAGCATTGCTGTCTAATTATATGCCGTGACAAAGGCGAAGAATTCATATGAGTGATATATTTTCTCTTTGGACCATAAAACAATCGTTATTTATTTATGTCGATGCATTTTTTCTTTGTTATACTTTTTTAGGTAACTATACAACAATCAAGATTAGCACTGAAATCTATCCCAGCCCGTAGAATTTGTGGTAGGAGAAAGATTCAATCTGACAAGAACGACATTACTCATGAATTCATTATGTTCAAACGGCCGACATACGTGCATGCCAGTAGTCATAATAGAGAAAAAAAAGTTGCCTGCAGGTGTGACATGTACTGTTTTATTTGTCGAATCTATGGCTGGATTAAGTTAACACTTATTTAAAATTTTATCTGCCACTAATTAGAAGAGTAATAATGAAAATGGGTTACTTATATCCCGTTCGGTTGATTTCTTTAAACTGCGTAGGTTGTCTCGCATACATAAAGGTTTTATTTGATAAAGGAAAAACGCAATGATCTAACGTCATAGCTTTTATAATAATCTGTTCTATTCATTACGAAGATATACTAAAAAAAAAGAAATACGTATATGACAGGAGTATACATCTTACTAGTTAGCAAATGATAATACATTGTGACAGGGGGTGGATGATAGAACATCTGACACATGTGTTAAATGTATATTATTAATCTATATCATAATAGCTTTCAATAAGGCCTTAATCATTTTAATGGGCGCGTTTGCTTTTCTCATATAAACATAATACGTCCTTGTTTATTTTTATGCATATTCGCTTCAGTCCTTGATATTTGAAATTGAACGTAAAAGGAAATTATAATTAAAAAATTAAATCTTATCAGGCAATTAATGATATAAGTTATGCGTCCTTATTTTTGCTAATCTGTCATTTATTTTTAGAAGCTAGAGGTTGTTTTCAAATTGATTTTTTATCTGGACAAAATCTCGTTAAGGAGACTGTCTTATGGGTGTTTATATTTTCATTGTACATGGTATTTATGGGACATTACTAATTGAAAAGCTATACATGATTAGCATATGGAACATATCAGAAAGTTTAATGGCAAATTCTTCCTACGATCAACAAAATAGTTCTATTTTTTTTGTTATCGATGGTAAAATGTCACTTAAATGAAAATTGATGCTTGATCAACGTAACGAAAACTGTAAACAGCTAGAAATATCTGTCGATAAATAGTTCTATTATTATTACAATCAACATTTTTCACAATCGGGATCATCGAGCTTTGACCTAATTACTAAATAGCACAGTAGAAAATCTGACGAGCAGTATTCTATGACAAATCAGTAAAATACTAGTAGAATGCAAGTTTGTTTGTTTGACTGACACATTTTTAATATATACTCATATCATTAAAATCATAAGAGACATGGAGTTTTTTTTTCGAGTTCATGAGAAAAATCTTTTGTATATGTTATATGTTTTATCCAATCATCAAGAGTAATAATATGATTACCCAAGGTGAAACTGAGTAGTCTTTTGTTCTCAGATTGGTTGATATGAAACTCTATTAAATATTGAACGTATAAACATCCCACTTTCATTATCAACAAGTAGGATAGCGTTGTTTTGATTATGAAGGTTACATTCATCATAAGAGTCGAGTAACATCTCTAATCAAATATATATGAATTGAGATCGTTGCTCTTTGCGTGCCTCTATGTCATAAATGATAGATTAGGAAGATTCGATGATTAATACATACATAGAATATTCTAAATGTTCCCTTCAAAGATAGAACTAACTTGGTATAAATGAATCGTACCTAGCAATGTTTTTTCCGTAATCATAATTTTCTAAACTTTCATCTTCTAAACTTATAGGATTTTGTTCGAGAGTTTAAAAAACAACGGTATGATAAGAACTTACATAAGAAAATAAATGAACGAAGTGAACTATGATACTTTAACTTTTACTTACTAGTGATACGATACTATTCCGAATAGATAGACTTCCTCTACTCGTTGCTGGCAGAGAACTTAAAAATAGAGTCACTGGAATCTGTCACAGTTTTCTTCATAGATTCTATAATAACTTTCCATTCTCTTAGGTCATATTCTTTGCTAATACTATCTCATTATGTGATTATATGGATATTTCCAGTATCTCTACAAAAATATGTAAATATAATCTGGACTATAATGTCACCTATCTACTTTTTGTAGTCAAGGAGACATAAAGATAATAAAATTCGAAAAGGTTCTTTTTACATTCATTTCCCAAAGATCAGATATTGTTATATTACAAAGAATTCTCCGCGTTTCATTCTTATTTCTCAAGGTTTACTCCTACGATAAGTAGACCGAATGACTTCTGATGATACAATGAATCGGTGAAGGATTTTCATTTGTTTTCTATTTAATTTAAATTTCATATTTCTTTTGAAGAAACTGGCATGCTTGTTTTTAAAACAAGAGAATACTCCTCTATAGTATAAAAATTGTTAAGGTGCCTCTAGCGAAATGTGATCAAATGATGAAAATAAATGGTTCATCGATTTGAAGGGCGTCTGTATATTCATTCATCTCGTTTTGACTGTCAACAACAAAAGGAAACTAAGCATTTAGTTTATGTCTGAATACTAGTTCCGCTGTAAAATGAATGACTATCATTTACCACAAATAGAAATCCACAGACACATCTATACATCATATCCACACTTGTGGTGAATAAAACAAATATGACCCATTCTGGTGACCAAATAGGGATTTTTGATTTAGGGATTTTTCAATTTAGGGATTTTTTTTATACAGTATCTTGTTCAAGTCACAACCGAACAAGGTCCCAGTTAGGAGCTCATCAGTACCAGTATACTGGGTACTGGTAATACTGATGACCAGAATCATCTCTCCGAGTTTCTGATAAGAAGAATTACGTTTCGAAATGATTCTAATGAATATTGAATATGTATGATTCTGGTAACCACAATCAGCTCTAAGAGTTTCTGATAAGTAGAATCACGTTTCGAAAGGTGATTCTAGTAACCAGAATCATACATATTCGATATCTATTAGAATCATTTCGAAAAGTAATTTCGCTTATAAGAAACTCAGAGAGTCGATTTTGGTCACCAGTAATACTGGTGACCAGTATTACCAGTACCCAGTATACTGGTACTGATGAACCCCTAACAGGGATCCTGTTCGGTTGTGACTTGAACAGCATATAGTATATAAAAAAAAATCCCTAAATTGAAAAATCCCTATTTGGTCACCAGAATGGGTCATATTTGTTTTATTCACCACAAGTGTGGATATGATGTATAGATGTGTCTGTGGATTTCTATTTGTGGTAAATGATAACCAACCTTAATATGATCCTTGAATCGGAATGTATTATATACTTTATCTTTGGCATTCACTTCGCCTAAATATGACTAAACTCATAGTAATAATCGAGCGGTTTGTCTAACATATTATTCCGTTTCAAAATTATAATCTTTAGACAATCAATGAGTCTTAGTGACATACTTGATAGAATATTTGTCTTGAAAGAAAATGTCCAAACAACTATAAGATGATAAAAACTTGGATCCAGATTATTGCTAACGATGCGACAGCTAGTAGAAGAATAGGTTTATATATGAAAAGTGATCATCGGCTCAAAATCTCTTCAAAAACAATTCACTTAATCAATGAAAGCATGCGATGAGCCAAAAGAAGCTCAACAAACTCTAGGTAACGATGAAAGATCTGCTTTAGAGGAAATTGAATCTTAATGACAAGACTACTCGGAATATTATAATTGAAAATCCGGCCGTGTCTTTCATTACTGATATTCACAGGATACTATTGAAAAGAAATTTTTCATCTACATATTTGAGATTATTATAAAATCTTTTCTTGGCAAAAAATCTTTCCTGGCTGTCTTGTGCAACAATAAATGTATTAATCAATTTAGATTGATAATAATCATTGAATCTTTTCCCCTTACACTAAAATAAACAGATAGTAACAATCGAATTCCTCTGAAAATTTTGATTATTAAAGTTCCATTTTTCAATAAATACAACGTATTCGAATCGTGTCTTTTTTCTACCACAGATCAGTGCGCACGGTTGATGGATTGAAACAGTTTAAATCGTCTGTTTACTTATAGTTCAAGAAAATTGCTTTCAATCACAACTGATGTTTTTCATTATATTTCAGCATTAGGAACGGGTAAAATCACTATATTTTTTTGACGGGAAATGGAATTATCAATTCAAATGTTTGCAATCAGAAGCGGACTTGATGATTCTATTTTCGCTCTGGATTGACTATATCTCTTCAGAATATGACACTTAATATGCATGATTCTAATAGTAAATACATTATATAGACGCTGTTCATGGCCTTTTTTCCAGCATAATGGAGTGAGGTTGACATGAAAAAGAAAAAAAATGAGTTTACGAAATCCGTTCCCATGTGTTATTTATTAACCATAATAACATTAGAAAAAAAGGATGTTGTACAGAATAACTCGGAACGAGATTAAATTTAGTTGCTGATTACTATATGAACTAATTAAAAGCATATAAAAAATTTTGTCAGACCTATAAAATAGAAAAACGATATGTATATAATTGTAAACATCCGATCGATAGGCGATAGGAGACAATATTCTCTTTTTCTTTACAAATTTCCGCTACTTCAACATGTATTTTATTCATCTGGATAATTTTTCCTTCACATAGAATTTTGCCGTATGCCAGGTAAGGATAATCATACAAATTCGATCCATATTAACATATCCTGACAGTTTTTAGTGAAATCAAACTTCACCTTGATATCACTACTACGGAAGATCTTTACTAAAAACAACTTGGTTGCATATTACCATTAATTATAAAGTCAATTATATACCAGAACTTTTTCAAAAATCCAAAACATTGATTGCTTGTAAAGAAATCGACAATTGTTGCTTTTTCTAGTATCTATCGAATATATCATTTTTATTGTTCTTATGCAAACATAACTTTGAAGGGGAAAAAGAGCATTGAATACTTAACACTGAGCACCAAAAATGAAAAAACACTAAACGCTGACATACAAGAGTTGGTCTTTGACTTCTATTTATATACAATGATATGGCATCATTTATAAGATAAACAAAAAAAAGAGCATAAGACAGTAGTAAACAATGAAAGTGAACAAAAAGAAAAAAAAGGGAAATTCATAAAGAGCCCTCCTCATATACTTTTGCGGTTAAATCGGATCACGCGGGTAAATAATGATGAACAAGAAAAAGGAAGACACAGACAATTATACACATGGCGAGATCTTCTCACATCAATATCAGTATTTGCTCTACCCCGAGCTTGAAAGAAAAAAAAACTTTGTGATTGTCATTTACAATCGTACAATACGATTTTCAGAAGTTAAAAGTCCAACACGTACATAAACGTCACTACCAATTCCGTACATGGTTTCAATTGTTAATGACCCATTTAAATATTCACAATAAGCACGTGACGTTGGCACACCGAAGCCATATCTAATAGAAAATTAAACAAACCGTAGCTTTTCAGTTCATAGAAACAATAATGAATTATTTACCCGCTCATCTTATTTGTATTATCTCTTGTAACAATTGGATCATAGATGGGATGGTCAAAATCGGCATATGAAAAAGATGTATTATCCGCTAAGTTACTCGATGAAAAATGATAATCGAATATTTTCTCAAGTACCGAACGTGACATACCACCCCCACGATCTTTTATGCTAGAAAAAAGAAAATAAAAAAAACATATCCATCATAAAAACGTTCATACCGAAAAACAAGTTCATCTTCGTTAACAGCAATTGTAACGCCAACAGTCGGTAAACCACTATCCGAATGTCTATGATGTTCGACTGTAGCTCTGGAAAACAGGGTATTTTAATGAATTGCTAATAGTAGCAAGTGAACAATCAGCTTAAAAGATTACACAAGTGAAATTCTTTATGGATTAATCAACTTTCAATTAAGGTTATGTGCATTTTGTTAAATCTCAAGAGTTATGAATATTCTTAACATGAGTTCGAATCTTTGCATTAAGAGTGCGAGAATATTATCGTGAAAAAACTGAACTTTCAATGTTTTTTTTTTAGAATATTAGAAAATCCACAGATCTAACAACGCCTTTTTTCACTACAAAAGGCACATAACTTCAAATGAAAAATAAACAGTCACTGTGAAAATTTCCTTCGTGATTTTGATGCTATCGAATTTTAAATGATGGGTTTGCGAACCTAGCCAAATTTATTAAGAAAAGCAATGAGTAAACACTCGGTATCAACTGCATAATATTAAAGAACGAATAATTATAAATATTAATCTAGAGGCTGAATCCGTATATATCATTAAAGAAATGAATTAATAAATAAATCAAAAAGATAAGCTATGAATTAAGAATCATTTTCATCGTTCGTAGATTTTACACATTCATTCATATTTAAATTACAGCTATTAGTTGAACATGTACATCGTCTTCCACCTCTCATAATAATCAATAGCTGTCCTTATTCAATCAATGAGAAAGCAATATGAGTTAATACAACATTTTTTATGTATATAAATCAATAATGCAACAAGAAGCTCTTTGATATTTAGCTTGATATGCAAAAGACTTACTCGCTAACAATCAGCAAAGTTTTTAAACAACACATTTTAATTTGCACTATGTAATAAACGACTTAATATAGAGAATCCCTTACTTGCTATCAAGAGAAACTATGCTGCTGATTTCCTATTGACGAATTTCAATGTTGGTCATCGATGTAAAAAATCGAACCTACCGAAAGGCATTTTTTAACATTTCAGGTATAATATAATATAATGGCGTAGCAATATATGGAAATGTGCTGTGTACATGACCATCGATCTTAACATTTGGTGCAACACCGTATTGTAAACGGCATACTTTCCTAATAAACGAAAATTTTTTATATTGAAATCAAAAATTTTCCTCATAAACTTACTTGACATATTCAGCTGATGATTCAACAAGTTTTCTTGGAGAAAAGCTCATACATATGGCACCGATATAATTTGACTATTTTGAAAATTAAAATTAAAATCGAAAAAAACACAATTTGATTCGTGCTTCCTACTCTATCTTTACGCATGGCAATATGATGTTCAATTAACATTTTAATAGCCAATCGAGAAGTCAAGGCACGATCAAGAAAATTGCGTACAAGTGTTTCTTGCTATAAAACCAAAGCAGTTTATTGAATGCTTAAACAAACGATGAAACTCGTCTTACTTTAATATGTCGTTTTGATTCACGAAAACCTTCGACTAATAAAGGTAATGTATCTGAAGTACAACTGAGCGTATTTTTAAGTAGTTCAGTAAACTCTTTTTCTTGTTCAAGCGTTTTAATCTGTACAAAATAAAATTCAGAGAAAATTCGTTATCAAAAAAAAAGTATCTTACTGGTGGAAATGTATGTAACGTATGAAATATTTTGATAAAACGTTCATGCTATAGTAGAAAAAATTATTCGTCATAGAAATGTACATATTCATGTTTGTTTTCATAAAGTTAATACCGAGTCTAACAAAAGAGGATTACAAGCGACAACAAATGGTAAATTTCGAAAATCATCAATGCGATGTGCAAAACGAATAGGTAAATCTTTTTGCAGATATTGAGCTGATCTCTACGGTAGAAAAATAAATACAGTAAATACAGTTATTTTATTCGAACACTTACCAGAAGGTGAGTACCATCTTCTGTCTTACCAATATACATCATTGTTAAAGGCGTAAGGCGAGTTGATTGCTAGAAAGTTATACTTGATTGTACTTTTTACAAAGAAAATCAATCCTACCTTGGCAGCATATTGTTCGATAGCACTTTGACAATAAAACGAGGTAACCGTTATATTAGCCAGATGTTTATCACGAATTACTTTTTCAGTTGAAGGCGTTGCTCGATTATTCGTAGTTTCATTGGTCGTTTGTGTAGTATTCTTATCATTATATTTTACTGTAATTGTTGCATCATTTGTGTTATAACGAGCCAGTGGTCTTAATGGCCGTATCAATCGATTTAATTTAGTACCCAACATGATTGTTAATCTTTGTTCGAAAAATATATCATGACCTATTCGTTATGAACAACAACAATCGTCAGATATGGTGTATAATTTTCTTCAAGAATAAACGTGTACAACCATAAGGAGCTGATATCGGAAATGATAGAAAGTTCAAATTCAACATTGCACCAGACACGCATCGGCAGCGTGATATGAATAACGCGTGCTCCGATTACAGTAGCGACAACTATGTTTATACATGTTCTTTCTATATCATTGGTTTTTGAATAAACCAATGAAATTGTCGGCTCAACAATCCCACTCTCAATCTCAAGTCATTGTTTGTTTCTCATCATTTTTTAGGCACAGAAAAATATTGATAGATACATCATGTCAAAAGCATATCAAGTCCTGCTAATATATTGAAAATATTCTGCTTTTGTATTTAGATTTTGTTCTTTTATTGACATTTAGTTTTCCCTTGTATAGTCATATTATAAACATTTAATAGACAAACCAAGATTTCGAAATCGAGCAAGAGTGTTCAATTTGTTGAATCGATATTTTTAAGTAATAACTTGGCTTAGACTAAAGGATATTCTTTTCGTTAACAACGTTCTTAATAGAAACCTAAAATAGGATGTAGACATACACTCTACTTTTCCGTGTAGCGTGTACTACTGTACACTTTATTTCGGAGATCAAAATGTACAAGAAGTTAAAGTGTTGATTTCTAGAGATAAAAAAGCTTCTATTAAAAAGTTACTTTCATTTTATTCCTCACGTTAATGAGCGCACGAAAATTTTAAATTAACAAAGTGTAAAAAACTTTCAAAATACAAGAAAGAAAAACAAGATCTCACTCAATACAAGACATTAACTGACATTTTCATTAAACATCATTTGTTGACACTAATAGATTTTTAAATTTCAACACCTAAACAAAAATATAACGAAAGATATCACAATAATGTATGCATATATACAGTTCAGATACTAATATTCAATTAAATTATACAATAAATTAAAATAAAAAATACTTTCTGTTATGTTTTGATTATCTATAGGTTGACTGGGCTTGTTCTGTTTCTTCGTGCATCTCATGATGATCTTCGCAAAACCAAATATTTGTATCCGTCGGAATGAACAATTTAATACGACAAAAATTACACAACCATCGTCGACATGAATCTTCATCTACCCATTCATATTCATCGTGCTGATGGCAGCATAAAATGGCATTGATTTGCGTTGGATCATCGGACGAAATTGTTTTCCGCATTGATTGGCACATTTTATATCATTAGCTTTTGGTTTAGTTGAATTTGAAATATAAGTTGTTGGAAAATTTATTCGTTTTCGTTTCATCGCATTCGGTCGTACTTGACGTTGAGGATCATAGTCATCAGGAACATCAAGTAATAGTTGTACGCTGTTTAATCGACGACGAGATTCAGGATCATTCCATGACTGGAAAGCATTTCCAGTTACTTTCGAATATCGTCATTAAGAAGAAGTCGTACGGTCAAAAGACAGTTTAGGGTTTCAGTTGTTATTTTTTGAACGGCCTATAGTCTGGATTCGATTTGCTGCACTATAGGCTCGCTCACATTCGGCGGAGTTGAGTGGTGCAATTAAATAAATACTTAACAAGATTAAAATATTTTTAAACTGTTCAGAGAATTGTGCATTTGTTTGTCTGTTTCAATTCCATAAAATTCTTCCAGAATGTTGTGGATGGAGTATTATTTGATTTAATTCGAATGAAATTGATTATCAATGACTTGAATAATTCCCAATTCATATGAATATTTTTTGACTCGAAATTCAATAGATTTTCATATTTTTGACGAAGATATGTAGCTCAAGGCGGCCATACGTTGCATCACTAAGAAGCGATTGATTTTCTTCAAGTATTATTGGATTGAACAGAAACGATAAACAACGACGTAGTTCAGAAGGTGGAAATCGACATTCAACTTCTCCAAGTAAACTTTGAGCATGAAAACATCACTCTGTTGTTAAAATATCACGGTCTATTTGCGACGATATCTTAAAAGCACCAAAAGAATTTTCAGTTTTGGTAGAATTGATATATTCTGCTAAAGATGGTCCCCAAGCGCATGACCCATTTGGTTCTTTCTTCATCCATGCAAGTAATATTTGTTTTTTATCAGATACTATATCCATCAATGTTTTGTATGAAATATCGTCCTTCTACACAATCTTTGTAAGTTCACCTTCACGAAAAAATAATGATTGTCATTATACATAAAAAACGAGAAAATTTACAAAAAAAAAACAAGTTTCAACTTACTGCAAATACATTCGTGTAGATCAAAACGAAAATGAAGAATAAATAAAAAACGATCATCTAAAATTTCCATCAACAGTTCAGCTGCAGAATCACATTTATTTTGTGTTACGTAGGAATCGTTCGAGGTAAAATCAAGTAGGGCCAGAAGTGCTTGCTTTCCTAGCACAGTTTAGTAAAAACTATATAACTGACGCTTTAAAATAGAAAAGAACTTCTTACCAGGTTTCATATTGTTCATAATAGGTTTCAGACAGGCGCGTATTGATAGCCATTTTATTTCGAAAATTCTTTTAAACTTTAGCTCGGGCATTGTCAGAAAATTGTACCATTGCTTCAATTTATGTTGGCGGGTGGTGCTTCGACTGAAATAACTGTATATTTATCCAATTAAATTCTCGAAGTCAGCAATGAAAGGTCTTATTTTCATCTTTCCTTCATCTAAAATGAAGCATATTAGATAAATATTTTTACGCTTTTGAATAGCTCTGCTTACTGTCTAAATATTGGCCTGCACGTTTCCCAACAAGAGCATAAGGATGCGCGGCGCATGTATTCAGTTCGATACATGCCATATTATGATTCTTTTTTAATTTTTCAACTAAACCCTCATGAATGCCTACAAACACAACAAACTATTTTAGGAAAATAAAAGTAACTGCATACCTTTAAAGGTGCTGGCATTGTCAGTCGCTAGCCAACAAGCTGTTGCTGTTATTATATCATCATTTCTCCATAATTCACTTATTCTTTTCACAATGTTCTCAGCTGGCCCGCCCCCTTCCATATTAATAAGCCCATAAAATGCGGTTTTCGGGACAACATTTTCCAAATAACTGACGTAAACTATGCAATTTTTTTCAATGGAACGAGAGGTGGATTCGTCCATCATCCACCTCCACCCTTTTAAAGTAAGAGAAATGTTTTTTTTATTAAAGCCAGATCATTCGATCAAGAATATTTACCTAGCACCGAGCTTCGTTTTATCTTTCTCACAAGGTCAGTATGCAAAACATTTGACATGTGTTGAAGAAATGTCAATGCAGCGTTATCATTCCGATAACTAATACCACTAACTTCTGCTGGTAACAATTTGACCCCGGCTTTTTCTAATAGCCCACAAAGAGATGAGAAACTGTTCAATGATTAATCGTTTTGCCATATATAAACTGCAGCATACGTGAGATTCATTATAGATTCTTGTTGACCCGACAAAATAGTTGTCCTTGTGAAAATCCACACTCTAAAAAAAATAGGTTTTTTACAGAACCTAAAAAAGGTTCTTATCTTCGGTACACCATCAGATCCTTTTTTTGGTTTTGTAAAAGTGAGGTTTTTATCAACCCCCTTCACGAAAATTCAAAAAAAGGGTTTCGTAGCAATGGTTTCGTACAAAACCTTTTAGAAATCATTCAAAAAAAGGTTTCGTACCCAACAAAGGTTCCGTTAAAAATTTCATTTAACCCTCTGCTGCCTCCCGCGGTATGCTCACTATTCGCGTATTTCTCAAAATTCGAGTACGGTATACATCAAATGAATCAAAAGTAAGATGAAGTAGTCTATAGAGTCATTTTCCTCATTCAAGGAAAATCATTCTAAAGACTATTTCATCTTATTTTTGATTCATTTGATGTATACCATGCTCGGGTTTCGAGAAATACTCGAATAGTATGCATACCGCGGGCCACAGTAAAGGGTTAAAGCCAAAGCCACCCGTGATTTCCATAATTGAAACAACTTAAAATACGGAAACGAATCAATATAATCATAATATAAGATCAAACTTACTTCACTATTCTTTTACTTGACACAACCTAAAATGCAGAAACGAATAAATACAATCATTTTATAAGATCAAACTTGCTTCACTATTCTTTTACTTGAAACAATCTGAAATAAACAAATTAGCGAAAATTTATTATTTCTCAAAATCAGACTTACCTAAAACTCCATATCCATATTAACCTAGAATTACAAAAACGAATAATTCTTTGGTTTGCTAAGAGAGAACTTACTTAAAACTACGTATAAGCATCAATCTAGAACAAAAAACAAATCAAATAAATTAAATTATACACGACCAAACTCACCTGAAATTTCCTCTTTGAAGACTTCTATAATTAAACAGAACATATTTCTGTTATTTTACGAAATAAAATTGACTTAAAACCTTTTATATGCATGAATCAATAACAAAGAAAAAACTTACTCTCTTTCATCGCATCAAACTTACACCAGAATTGACGGTAGAGTTGAAATCAAACGTGAACCATGTGAAATTTGGACCCCGGATCGAGCAATTTTTCAGCCATGAAAGCCGTGAGAGAAAAACTGATAAGGGATTTGCACTCAGGGGCCCCGATAAGCTATAGAAAATTTGACATATATAATAAGCCTGTGAAAAGTGTATTGCAAAAACTAAGAAACCTTGAGGTAGTCGACGAAACGCGCGCTGGTTTGGTCGGTATTTTACAAAACCTTAAAGCACACTAGAAAGGGTGAAAAATTTGCGTAGAAATAATACGAAAATTTTGGATCGTGAACAAAAATATCAATCGGTTCAGGAAAAGATTCCAAACCTCGAGAGTGTTTACGAAATTTTCAGTGGTTTGGTACAAAATATACGAAACTTTGACATGGATAATAAATTGATAATCGTTCAGCTGAAAAAGTACGAAACCCTCGAATGTTCTACGAAACCAACAATTGTTTTCCAGAAAATATTCCAAACTTTTTTACAGTTTAGGGAACCAGCAAAGCTTCCGTGGACATATTACGAAACCTTAATGCGGACCAGAAAGTGTCGATAAGTTCCGCTTAAATAAAACGAAACCTTCGGACGGTCCGCGAAACCAACAGTGGTTGCGTGGACATATTACGAAACCTTAAAGTCAACCTGAAAGTGTCGAGAAGTTCCACATATATAATACAAAACCTTCGGATCGTCCGCGATAGCAACAATGGTTCCGTAGACATATTGCGAAACCTTAAGGCCGACTAGCAAGTGTGGAAAAGTTCCGCGCAAATAATACGCAACCTTCGGTTCGTCCACGGAGCCACCAGTGGTTCCGTGGGTATATGACGAAACCTTCTGCCATTTCCCAAAAATATCAGAGGATTTGTAAATGATGTACGAAACCTTCGAAGAGTTCAGGCGAAAATTGCGAAACCTGATGAAATCTGCTGAACTTAAAATACTTCTGAATGGAGACCACGGAACGGTTTTCACTCTGTGGAACTTAAAATCGTTCGGTGGAGAAATGCGGAACTATTAAGGTTCGGTAGAGTACCGATTTTTTAGGGTGTAGAAAAACCGCAAAAAATTCAAACCAGACACCGATGAACAAATATTCTTTACCAACGCTTCACGATAATTCCTTCAACTTCCACGCTTCGCATGTTCCAACCAAAGCTGCAACGGTCAGCCGAATTCAACTGAATTCAACGAAGACCGCCTAGATCCCCTAGACCGCCCGTCCAAAAATAAACATACATGTATATGAGTTGAGAATTCACAATTCAGAATTCAAGTGAATTTAACGAAGGCCCCTAGCCCCTCATTGCTTTTTGAAAAGACGGGTCATGTTTTTGAGTACAATTCAGATTGAAATCATATACCCCATTGTATGATATACATATATATGATTCTAAATAAAAGTTTTACATAGTGTTTATTATTTCACTGTTTTCCTCTTTTTTTTTTAATAGATAGAGATAGTTCTGAAAAGATATCTAATTTTAAATACCTACAGGATTACCTTAATATTTATTGAAACGAAATCTTAAATTGCTTCTCATATATGGTTTGAGCAGGATTAAAAAACGACAAGAGTTAGAAACCAGAATTAGAAAGAATAAAAAGAAGTAACTGAACAATACTATGATGCTAGAAATAGATGTACTACGTATTTTTAATAGCTCATTAAATTTTTTAATAAATATGAAAAAGAAAATTAAATAACTATAATAAAGAGTACATATAACTGTAAAGTAATTTAATTAGATATGTGGTTCTTTTGAAAAACACATAAAAACTGTTTGTTTAATTCAAAAAATTATTTTTTTTGGGAGATAATTTCAAATCGATGTACATGATTTTTCATACGTATATATAGGTTAAATAACTATTGATAGTTTTAAACAGCTATAAGATTTTCACATGTAATAGGATTTTACATAGCTATAGGCACTTTTATATAGCTGCATCCTTAATTAAACACTATTTCTTTTGAAAAGCTACGCATATAATTACCTGTATGAAATGCTAGTATAATAAAACTCATAAAAAGCAAACAAAAACAAACCGAAGGTCTATGATACGTGCTACCAAACTTTTACAAATCTGTGTCTGAGATCTTGTTGCAGATCTTGATAGAAGAATAATGTGAATGTGTTTATGTTGTACCGAAAATTTTAAGATCTAAAACGATACGTTTTCTATGACTTTTATTATGATTATGATCTTGCTTTTACGATGTTTCACAAAAAAAAAAACGTTTTTCTGGAGGCGGTGACCTTGAAGAAACGATGACCTAAACTCTCTAAATTTTACAGTTCACAGAAAAAAGTACATGACAACAACGTGGGATGCTATTAAGTCTATTTCGAGATTATTTAAAAATAGGACGTTGATTTTTCAAATCATTAACTATTCATCAAACACATATGTGTGACATCTGCCTGGCCCATAATCATGCAACTTAATGGACACAAGCTGTTACGCGATCACGTTCGATTGCTTCTTCAATATGTGCTCCCTCTCGCTGCGCCAGATTTATTGAGTACTATAAATCCTCGGTTTTTTTTCGTTTTCAAAAGATTTTCCAACTTACACAAATCGAAGCTGTTGATTCGCAAAATGGCATTATATGGTCGTTTGCTTTATGCATGGTTACCATTGCTGGTATTCTTGTTACAAGCATTTCACGGTGGATTTGCACAAAGTACGTTTATAGACTAAATCTTATAGACCTTTGATATTCTGGTGTATAATGAAGACATATGTTGTGACAGCTACACTTCTAGCAGATTGGTTGATCTAGATGGTTCAACTTGCTGCCTAAACAAAATAAGAACTGTCGCCCAGTTCTTTTACTTTAGTTATAGTTTTGCGACACTTTCATGTCATCTAAGACAACCCGAGTTGATAACATAAAGTTCAACAATCTCATTTGTTCATGCAATCCCAAAAAAATGCTTTCACTTTCCTTTTTTTGATGAATTTTTCAACGAAATTCATTTCTGTATGATTCAGAGAAAAAAGTCAAGCGCATGTTGATACTGCTGCTTCTATCTATGATGTTGTCAACTTTTGTAAGTGAAATATTCTACGATAATTTTGATCTTTGTCATTCCACCCTGTTGCCTCATGGCGACTCACATCAATTCCATTAAGTTCAAGATTTACGAAAGACACTTGTCCAACCTAAACCTACAGTAACATGGGTTTTACTTGGAACTTTTTCTTTAATAATACCACAACAAATTTCTTCCCAAACAATATTACTTTCAATCTATCGATAATACGTTCTTTGGCGCGATATTGAACATTCCGAAACCCGTCCCACGCAGAGAACCCATTCATTCAAATATCTAGAAGTTCAGGAATTCGGACGAATAGCACATGTAGGGAATTCCACGCAATTCCTACTCTCCACGAAATTGAGTTATCATCCATGTCGACTAGCAAAGAACGATACTAGCCATGCCCACATCGACATTTGCACAGGCACTGATACGAACACCCTCACAACCACTACTCTCTTTTAGGCTACTACGATGACTACAACAATGGCGAATATGATCCAAATGCTCTTTGTTCAGAAGACCCAACTACATCTGCAATTGTATGCACCTGTAATGCTGGTTATACTAACACTGGTAGCGCCGACAACGTTGTCTGCACAGGTATGATGATTTCAGATAAGATTAGAAATATTTCCTCGTCATTTTTATCTTTCCAGATAGTTGCACTATCGAGAATGGAGGTTGTGGCCCACACGCCACTTGCTCACATCATGCTAATACATATGCAGTAAAATGCACTGCTGAAGCTGATTATATCAACACGGGATCGGGATCGGAAGAGATACGCACAGGTACGGTATCGGTCACGTAGAAGCAGAAATATTTTGTTGTTGCATTCTTGGGCTGTGTGAGATGTTGTGTTGTATTGCGTTTTTCATCAGTTCATCTATGAAATTAATTCTCCTTTTACTCTCATAATGCAAGTTTATCCTAAGAATCTTCAGATTGTCTTTCGCTCCTTAACTGCTTTTTCTTTGCATATTAGCAGGGACGTCGCCTGCAAGAAAAGTGTATTGGTATGAAATAAGGAGAATCAGTTATAGCTGAAAAAATTACGGTCTACTACTTTCCCTTTGAAAAAAGTGAAGGAATTTCATGACTTATTTGATAAAATTGGGGGCGATGCGGAAAGCTATGTTGGTCTGTGATGGAATTTCAGAATTAGCCAAAATGTTCTTCTACCGATCAAGTTGTTTTCTCCTAAAACACAGCGTTGGTGATCCGTAAATTTAGAACTGAAACTATATGGTTTTTTGGAGTTTCAGTCGTATACAAAATGTGATGCGAAGCAAGAATCCGTGTCCCCTACGAAAAATCTTCAATTGATAGATATTAAATAGTTTTTGTATGGCCATAATGCAATTCATCACTGAGAAAACTCTATTTACGGTGCGAAGCATTGCATAGCGATGCTTCGAAGTCGCCATATTTTTAATGCGATGCGAAGCAGAAGCATTTCTGTAGTCCGTCGCGAGTTTTTTTTTTTTCCTTTTTTACTTGAGATCGTACGCATCTTTTTTGTCGTTTTGTGACTCGATGATCTCGACAACCAAAAATGATAAAAACCTCGTTTAAACGCAAGATAGAAGTATTGAGATCGAACTGCTTACACCTGTTTTCGAATCTTTAATCTGACGTTCCGTTCGCTCAGCAATTTAGTTCCAAAATGACGAAAATGAAAAAAATTTGTTTCAAGATAATTAAAGTGACGTCATCAACATATGTTATCCACTATAGTCTATTGATTTACAGCTGATCTAAGATAATGAATCATGGAGATAATTAATCGATCAATCGAAATCGATCTTTAAGAATATATCGCTAAGTAAGAATGGAGTTTTCTCAGCGATGAATTTCATTATGTCGACATAAAAAAGTATTCAAAATTTCTCTGAATTGAAGATTTTTCCTGGATCGAGATTCCTGGTTCGCATCGCATTTTGTATTCGAGTA